TTCCGATTCCTACATTCCCATTGATTAAGTCTACATAATACTTCTATTCTTCTGAATATAAAATGAATGATTCATCTGGTGGCGCTGGCTCCTTTGAGAGCTCTGTAGTGCTGGAGCATTTCATCAAGACATTTGAGGTCATGAATTGAGCTGTCAGTCTATTGGGAATTCAGGACTGCAATTAGTGGCCCATCTTGGAGGTGGTTAATGCCAGAGAATGTTGAGCTCAATGAAATGTGTCTGATAATTGATGTTTCCAATGCTAAGATAATTCCCTAACTGGTCTGTTAGAAAGATTTTGTTCTGCTTGCCCAAAGTTGTTTTTTTCCTTCAGAATCACTAGGAATGCTAACAAAGCAAATGTTTATTACAGGCAATGTCGGGGCTGATCATGCTATTTTTGAGCAAGGTGCTTCAGCAGGAAATGTAGGTAATGATAAACTATTGGAACAGAAGACAGCAAACCCAGTGGCACTGCTTCTATCTTCTGCCATGATGCTAAGACATCTCCAGTTCCCTTCTTTCGCTGATCGATTAGAAACTGCAGTCAAACGGGTAATTTCAGAGAGTCATTACCGGACAAAAGATCTAGGCGGAACCAGCACTACTCAAGAGGTTGTTGGTGCAGTCATAGGTGCTTTAGACTGACTGGTTAAATACTCATTTAGCTGCTGGTGTTAGTAAAACATTTTCCGGTGATGCTTGGAAGTTTCACCTTGAAATATTGTTTGTCTCACACTTGTTCACAACTTTGTTCGATTTTCTGCCCACCACACTCTAGATTTTATCGTCATTTTTTGGCTGGTTGGGTTTAAATAATCTCAATCCCATATGATATATGATATTTCAATTTGAGTTATATACCTGTAAAAATGGTCAGATTCCTGTTTGCTTTGACAGGAAGCCTAATTTGTATTTGAATTTGGTGGAAGTTGTTATTTATTTTTTACCCCACAAAAAAGAAAAAAAATCCAAAAAATACAAGAGAATATTTAAGTTGGTGGTGAAGGATCAAATCGACAAGTGAAAAATTAGGAGACTAAAATGTATAAAATTGTTAAAATTAGCAATTTAATTTTGATTGATAAAAGGTTTTATAAGTGGAAATATTTTTATTTAGGTGTTTAAGGATTCAATTGGAATTTTAAAAAGTTTAATTAATTTTATTGAGAAATCCAAAAAATATAAGAGAATATTTAAGTTGGTGGTGAAGGATCAAATTGACAAGTGAAAAATTAGAAGACTAAAATTTACAAGATTGGTAAAATTAGCAATTTAATTTTAATTGATAAAAGGTTTTATAAGTAAAAATATTTTTATTTAGGTGTTTAAGGATTCAATTGAAATTTTAAAAGGTTTAATTAATTTTATTGAGAATTTAATTGCAAGAAAAATTAATTTTTGAAATCAATTTGAATGTTAATTGCAATAAATTGAAGTTTGGGAATTAAGTTTTAATTGGTTAAATCAGGGGTTTAATTACATAAAATTCAAAGTTTTATAAGCAATTAGAAATTTAATTGAACAATTCATAAACCAATGACCAACATGCAAAAAGCGCATGACTTCAGGAAGTGAAATCGATGAAATCAGAGGTCAAATAAAAAAAAATTAAAAGTTTGTCAGTTGATCAATGGAGGGTCTAATTAAACAAATAAAAAATTAAGAATCAAACTGTAAAAGGCGCTCAAATCTAGGGCTGATAATTAAATTTGACAATAGTGAAATTGCATGAAATTAAGAGTTCAAGAGGAAATTATGGGTAAAATTAAAAGAAACGGAAAGAGTAGGAATTCAATTGAAGTTTGTTAGAATCAAAATTAGAAAACCCTAATTTGTAGGGTTTAACCAAAACAATATCATTTAGCTGTTATACACATTTTTCTTTGATAGTTTTAGCTCATCGAGTAGGCACTTTTCAGGTGAGTGAATGCGATATTTTTGATCATTTCTGAAGTTGCAACCACCATTATTCAATTGAAAAACACTCTCTTTACAACCCATTTGCCATGAAAATCAAATATTTACATCCCATTTTCTCTAATGATCTTAACAATATTTTGTCCCCGATCAGCTATCACTATACTTTCAGATTCCATACTAATTGAGTTGACACTGTCAAACGAATGAATATGGGAGCTACAAACCTTCAAATTAAACAAGAATGGATCCAATTGAAAGGTATGCACCTTTTCTACCATGATTAGGTGATCTCAGGTGATGTTGATATCAATGTTGCTTTGACAAAGTTACAACAGTGGTCAACCTAGTCACCTTTAACTGAGACAGTCATATTTATAAAACCACCTAACTCTTTTGTGTAGGGCTGACAATTGAATTTAACAATAGTAAAATTATATGAAATTAAGAGTTTAAGAGGAAATTATGGGTAAAATTAAAAGAAACGGGACGAGTAGGGATTCAATTGAAGTTTGTCAGAATCAAAATTAGAAAACCCTAATTTGTAGGGTTTAACCAAAACAATGTTGTTCAGCTGTTGTGCACATTTTTCTTTGATAGTTTTGGCTCATCGAGTAGGTACTTTTAGGTGAGCGAATGTGGCATTTTTTACTATTTCTGAAGCTGCAACCACCACCATTCAACTAATAAACACCTTCTCTACAACCCATTTTCCATGGAATCAAACATTTACATCCTATTTTCTCCAATGATCTTAACAACATCTTGTCCCTGATCAGCTATCACTGTACTTTCAGATTCCACACTGATTGAGTTGACACTTTCAAACGAATGAATGTGGAGCTATAGACCTCTAAATTAAATAAGAATAGATCCAATCGAAAGGTATGCACCCTTTCTACCATAATTAGGTGATCTCAGGTGATGTTGATATCAATGTTGCTTTGATAAAGTTACGAAAGTGGTCAACCTAGTCACCTTTAACTGAGACAATCATATGCATAAAACCACTTAACTCTTTTGTGTGTTCACACTTAAAAACTCCAAGAGGATTAAAACCATTTTTTCAAGATCAAAAGATCAGAAACACTTCACCTTGGCCTTTAAGTTTGTTACAAAACCACCCAAAGCTAAAACCATTAATCCAGGGGTGAAACCAATCTAATTTTGGTTTATTATAACTCTAACAAACTCATCTAAAAGCTCTGAATCTGCCTATAATAAGAGAGGTAATTAGGGGAAGAAAAGAGAAAAAAAGAAGAGGAGGAGAAACTTTGATTAAGGTTTAAGAAATCCAATCCAATTCAAGATTCCAAGGGTTCAGTTTGTTTTTGTTGGGTTAAAAGATAAGAAGAAAGGGAAGGCAATATTAGAAATACACTTTAATTTGAAGATCTCAAGGTTGGAAGGTATATACCTAGAGAACAAAGTTGAAGTTTTTCGGTGCATTTCATCCACAAACAGATGGTTAAATTGAAGTCCTCAATAGAAGTTTAGGAAACCTGCTACGTTGCCTCATCACAGATCATGCAACCAACTAGAACCATGTGCTCCCAGAAGCAGAGTTTGCTATTAATAATTCTATTAATAGATCTACAAAACACACACCATTTGAAGCAATATCTAGTAGACAACCCTACACCCCCATAGATCTCAAACCATTACCTTTACCTCCCAGACCAAGTGAAGCTGGCTTGGATTTTTCATAATACATGAGAGATATTCATGTAGAGGTTAAAAAATGCCTATCACTTAATACTAAAGCATATACTGTCTTTGTCAATGTTAAGCACAAGGACAGATAATTTCATAATAGTGATATCAAGGTTGTTAAAATCATGATTTTAACACGTCATGGAAAATACAAAACAAACTTGGATCATAAAAACGGATTGTAAAATCATGAGGAATTTTAAGATTATGTTATTTATTTTATTTTAATTTAATTTTTATTGATAAAATAATTATTTGTGCGTTGTATGTACTTAGGATTAAGGTTGAGAGTTTTTAAAATTATATTAATTTCAACTATAATGAGTTTTTTCTTTTCACCTATAAATATTAGTATAGTTGAACCATGTACACAATATACTTTGTGTAAATTGGAATGATTCTTTTTTTAAGGTATGAATTAAAAAAAATAGAGTTATTTAAAAAATTTATATATCCAATTCAAACCTCAATGAAAAACTATTATGTTTTGCTCTTTATTCTATCGTCCTGTGATTATAAATAACTAAAATTTTAAATAAATAAATAAAGAGATTAACACAACTAAATTAATGCGCCCATCATGTTCTAACTTGATTTTAATTCTTTATTTTGATTAAAATGTTTAAAATATAAAAAATACTAGGTTTTATAGTTATTGTTATATTCAATTAATCTAATTAAGTAGTACTTTTAAAATTTTAAAAACAAACATAAAACAATTTATTTTAGATATAATATATATAATAATTGTTATATTTCCTGTATAACTGATCTCTTGCCTAAAGATTCTACAAAATTCGATAGAGTTTTATGTTATATATTTCCTGTATATTTCCTGTATAACTCCTTTCACTCTTATATATATATATATATATTGTCTTGATATCTAATGCCACGCATCAAGTAATTACTAACCCAAAGCCACCAGAAAGTTAACTAATAAGTTGACATTTTTAATTCTTATAGAAACTATTTTTTTAAGGAGAAAGTTAGCAGTTGGTTTTGATCTCATCACTCAATGTACTTATTTTACTTCAAGTAATCATGACTTTGAGCGCAATAAATTTTTGCACGGACACATAACCGATGGATAAACATAACAGTATTTTTCTGCAATTTTTGCTTTTGTTCTGGCCAAATGCCAATAGTCGGTCGACAACAATTGCAATTTTATGGTAAAATTGGTTAATCGGTGGTGAAATTATAATTTTATATAATTTTACCTGATTTATATAATTTTACCTGATTTTAACTTGTTTTTATTAATTTTTATGTTTTATAAACAATTTAACATATAAAGCTTATATTAACTTATAAAATTATATAATTTTAAGAGTAAAATTATGATTTTAACAACCTTGGATGATATGGTACTGGTTCGTCTAAAACTAAAAAGATTTCCTTCAGAAAGTTTCTCCAAACTACACGCGAGTCGTGCGAGTCCTTTTCATATTACTAAGAAATTAGGCAGTAATGCCTATGCCATAGACTTACCTTTTGAATTTGATATTAGTCCAGTTTTCAACATTGAAGACATTACTGCCTTTAAAAGTGATGAAGATGTTTCAAGTCATACTTCCAGAACGGAGGAAATGCCAGCAGGCTTTCCTGAAGTCCCTACAACCACTACACCACAAGAGGACATTGTCTCCATCATGGATCACCAGTTCGTTTCTATGCGTCGCAAGGGATATTACAAATTTTTAGTTCACTGGCGACATGGACCCCTCTCCGACTCAGCATGGGTCAAAGGTATTGAGCTTCAGCGACTGCACCCAGACTTGGTTACTGCATATGTTCACCATAACTTGCCAGAGTCAAGTTCTTTAGAGGAGTTAGCAATTGATGCAAATCAGGAGGAGACAGAGGAAGGAACCCTGTAAAACACAAAGACTACTAAATGACGGAAACATGGGAAGTCAAGGAATCGTGAAAGCTGATTAAAAGCTTATTAGCTGTAGTTATTATTTTCCTAGTTAGCTGGTAGTTTCCTAGTTAGATTAGGATTAGAGTTCAAATATGTTTTAGATTATATTTCCTTAGTAGATGGGTATTTAGGAAGGGAGCATAACATAAGATAGGCAGTTTTTCTTGTAATCAGACAATTGGCTATTCTTTAATACAAAATCAGGAGTGATTCCTCTACAGAGAGATGCATTAGACTATTGTTCTTATTGTAAACAACGAGAGGTTGCAACAGGGAGCAATTACATCAATGCCGACAGCAGCAATAGTAACAACGTCGTTCATTCTATTTCCTCCAGTCGACCAACAACTCTTCCTCCTCCATCCCCAACGTCGGCAACCTCTCCACCAGCCGAAAAGATCAACCATGGAAACCTCATCCACAAACCACCAGTAGCTGCGGCTATCTCCTCTGAGCTGACCGACGGCCAAACGCGCCTTTTTCCTCCCACTTCAGCTCAGGACCAACACGAGTCTCCACTAGCCACCAGTGATCGGGAGAGTTTGTATTTTAAATAATGATCGGGTGAGTTTTTATTAATTTATTACTATCTTTTTGCAGTACTGTGTTTGAAAGTAAATTTATAGTGTCTTTGTTTAAGAGGCGCTCATGAGGTACACACAACAAACACATTTTTAGTATTTTTGCTCATGCGTAGGCTAATCTCATCTTTTGGTGCGCAACAAACACTCTTAAAACACAAGATTATGTGCCAAAAAGATTACTCTACCTTCCGAGTCGGCGAATCTCCTTCGCATATCAAGGATTAATATGGGCATGGCCACCTCTTGCTGGGTCGTTTCTGGTTCATTTCAAAATTATTTCTGTCTCATTGTGAGTTTATGTCTAAAATCATTCCATATACCTGATGTAGATAAATTTAAAAATCAGTTTGCTTATGAGTTTGGTTTAAAAACAATTTCTAGTTTGTTGCAATATCATTTATATTCGATGCAGATCCATTTTCAAAATGGATTCATATTTCTAGTTTTCTCTCGTTACGAGATTGTTTATTTATTATCCGAAGTAGATGTAGATTTGTTTTCAAAACCATTTTGGAATCAATTTTAACTCATTGCAAGTTTGGTTCTAAAATCATTTCTAACTTGTTACGAGTTCGTCTCGCATCCGTTCTGGGTTTGTTTTCAGAGCCAATTCTCATCATTTGCAAGTGTGCTTTTTCATCCTTCTCGCTGCGAGTTTCTTTATTTTGGATTTGTTTGTGAAACCAAATTTGTAAGATCTCTGTTTTGAAAATACTTTGGGTGGTATGCCTCAATCTTTTTCTACATAAACTTCATTTTACATGTATTATCACATATTTTGTTTCAAGTATCTAAAGCAAATCTCAAAGTTTGCCGCCCTTGAGTTGTATCTTTGTTTTAATTGCTGGGTGAGGCCTCTTTATTTCGTCAAGCACGTATGTTCTTCACATGATTCTTTACCTCTATACATACAAGCCTTTGTCCTTTTCATCCTTTCTTTACAAGTTCACTCTTTAGAGTGCAAAGAAAAGCATTTTTCAATGACTCTTCTTCGTACTAATATTGTGAAGATGAGGCCTTTATCGTATCTCCTATAATTTTACCACAAATAATAATTTTTATATGATTTTTCTCTTTTTTTTTCAGATTTTAACCATTTTTATGTATTTTCATGAATGTCTTTTTTGAGCCGAGTATTTAAAAAAGAGAAAATAAAAGTTACGTGAGTAGAGTGAAAAACCAAAGGAAAATAAGAGCAAAAAAAACATCAAAGGAATTAAAAACAGAGAGTACAAAGAAAACAGAAAAAATATGAATATGCAAGTTGGATATCTTATTCCTATTACATATATTTTCCCGTCCAATCTTTCTCAGAATAGCCTTATCCTTATCCTTACTTGAGAAAGAATCCAACCATTTAGCCAAACATTCTAAGTGGTGGATAAACGTGAACCTAGAAAAAACATAATACATTATATAAAAAAACTAAAGTAGTTCAATGTTTATTATTTATGATTTTGTTCATCAAGAGTATTCACATTGCTATTCACATAATTTTTTATAGACTTTTTAGACCTTTTAAAGTCTCTTAATTGTTTCTTCCACTACGCTTTGGTCTGTATGTCTTGATTTTTTTTCTTTAACAATTATATTTTTAATTTTATACATCTGGGATATGTTTTGTTATATGCAAGTTCTTTTATATGTGTGATGGCAGTGATTATTTTTATATTATGTTGAAGAAAAATTTTAAAAAAACAAGGACCAACACTAATAATAATAAAAAAAAACAAAGTTAATGTTTTTCATTTTCACTGTTGTTCCAAGCGTTCTGCTATGTGACCTGCTTGTTAGTGAAAAATACGAAGATTTTTTAGAAGTGGTCTAATTTATTCCAAACGACCTGTTTGTTAGTGAAAAATATCCAAAAAGTTTTTCAAAAGTGGTTTAATTGTTCTAAGCGATCTATTCATTGGTGAAAAATATGAAGATTTCTTGGAAGTGGTCTAATTCTCATGAGTGGCTTGCCCGTTGGTGAAAAATAAGAAGATTTTTTAAAAGTGGTCTAATTGTCCTAAGTGACCTGTCCATTGGTGAAAAATTCAAAGATTTTTTGAAAGTGATCTAATTGTCTCAGGTGACTTGCTCGTTGGTGAAAAATACAAAGATTTTTTATTAGTGGTCTAATTATTCAAAGCAACTTGCCCATTGTTGAAAAATTTGAAGATTTTTCAGAAATGATCTAATTATTCCAAACGACCTGCCTATTGTTAAAAAATACAAAGATTTTTGAAAGTGATCTAATTCTCATAGATGGCCTGCTTGTTGATGAAAAATACAAAGATTTTTTGGAAGTGGTCTTATTGTTTAAGGCGACCTGCCTGTTGGTGGAAAATATAAAGATTTTTCAGAAGTAGTCTAATTGTCCCAAATGACCTACCATTGGTGAAACATTCGAAGATTTTTCATAAGTGGTCTAATTGTTTTAGGCAATCTGTCAGTTGATAAAAAATACAAAGATTTTCATAAAGTAGTCTAATTGTTCTGGGTGACCTACTTGTTGGTAAAAAATACAAAGATTTTTAAAAATTGGTCTAATTATTCCAAATGACCTGCTCGTTGGTGAAAAATACATGATTTTTTACAGGTAGTCTAATTGTTTTTGGGTGACCTACCTGTTGGTGAAAAATACATAGATTTTTTGGAAGTGGTTTAATTATTCCAAACAACTTACTCGTTGGTGAAAAATATGAGATTTTTTGAAAGTGGTCTAATTGTTCCAGTGACCTGCCTGTTGGTGAAAAATACAAAGATTTTTTAAAAGTGATCTAAAATTTCTCAAAAGTAAAAAATTTTCAAAAGCGTTTTCAATTCTTGGCCATTTCAAGGTGGCCTTCATTTTGAGGATCTCATCGAGGATTTCTCTTGAATTTTCAAAACACATTTTTCAATATTTTAGAGTTAGATGATATGCATGCATCTTTATCTGATTTGAAATATAGGTCCTAATTTCTTCTTAATCTTCTTTATTGCTTGATTGGTGAGGTCTTGCTATTTTTTATTTGAGCCCTTATGGTCATTTAGCTTCTAACCCACTCGAGATGGCTTATGTAGGTCTTTTTTCAGAATATTTGCAATTTTACCTAGCTTAGCCTTTATTATGTCCATCGTGACCCATTTACTCACTGGAAATTCTCTATCTCATTGATCAATTTGAGAAGATCATTCATTAATTTCTTTTCTCACTACCAACAACATTCAGTGTCACTTGTTGAAAATACCAAGTTGGCTTTTGTAATCAAGAATGCCCCTTTATCTCGTTGTAGGAAATGTTTCTTTTTTTTTTTCATTACTTGAAAAGATTAAATCCCCTTTTAAACATAATATTGCCCCTTGGTACGGGTCATTGCCCTTAGTTGTGCTTTGTCAGTGACTCAAACAAAAAAAAGGTTTTGAGTAAACCTTCTCTCCTTTCTCCTTTTTGGTCTTAATGAAGGAATCTTTATTTAAAATGAATCATAAAATCTTAATCTTGCATTTTAAAAACAAATATTGTTTCAATCTGAGCTTAAAACAATTTGCTTTTCAAATCTTGTAACTCCCTGATTATTAGTTTTTTTTCCTGGAAAGGAGATGATTTGTTCTTATATCAGCGATATTGTTATTGGTGAAGGTACATCCTAAGGTGACTTTCTACTTTTATGAGTTCCAAAGTGAAGAGCTCGAGAAAAAGCTCAAGGTTTTATTTGAGAAACATTTGTCTATTTTTGAACATTCATTTTATAAATATGAATAATAATAAGTAGTTTGTTCTCAATGTCAGGACTCTTATGAAAAAATATTTTTTGTATTTTGAGAGCACCATTTATTATTCTAAGTTGCTTGCTTCATTAGAAAGGACTTCTACATACACGTGATGTAGGTTGTGGTTTTTAGCTATCAAAGAAAATAATTCATAAGGCTCAAAGAATGTTTTAAGGTTTCAAAGACTAAGGATCACTATGAATAGTTCGACTCTTTGTGTCTTTTATCTTTTTTTTGTAACTTTTCTTTGATTTGCCCCTTTTCATTGTGTTGGCTAGGGTATATTTACCTTGTTTTGGCTATCATTTTTTCTTGTGATTTAGGCATACCTCCTAATGCTTGAGTTTTTTGAGCTCTTTTACCTTTTTAGCTTTCTCACAGTTTTTTCATTATTTTTTCATTGAAATTTTCACTTACCCCTAGTATAGGGTATGATCATATGTTTAGTACTTAAAACTGTATTTTTATCAAGGTTTTATATCATCATTTTGCACTTGAAGTATTAATAACTCCTTAACTAAAATATGTTTTATAATAACATATCTAATAATATAAGATACCTTTAATTTGTGGTAAATGTTCATTTTAAATATAGGCCTATCACATAAATGAAAGGATTGAATAATAA